ACCCCAACTAAAATACAAGTATTCTCAAATGTGGATATCAAAGTTACCACTACTTTTTGTAAATGGGTATTTAATGGTTGATTAAACGTATAAATTGTGTAATTTAATTACTCTGCGTAAGCTTAACCTAAAAATTGGCATTTTCAAAAAATTCATAAAATATTTTCACATTTACAATTTTGTAGTGAAAGTGTAAATTACAGTTAATTAAAAGTTACCAATCTTTTCAAAACGGTTCATATTTACCGAAATGCCTAAAAAAAAGTGAAATTAGTTACGATGATAGAGTTAGAGTTTAAGTTCTAAGTGAAGAAGGTAAGTCTCAGGTAGAGATTACCAATTTGGTGGGTCGAAATCCCACAATAATAAATCAAAAAGTGGAAAAAAACGTCTTACCAGTAAACGAGAAGACCGAATACTTATACGCGAGTCTCTCAAGGATCGCAAAAAATCTTCTTCTGCCCTTGCAGCTGCCCTTTCGTATGAATTTAGGTAACCAGTTAGTGCTTGAACAACTAGAAGAAGACTTCAGGAAGCAGGCTTAAAAGGATGTAAAGCCTGAAAGAAACCGTGGCTCTCAGAAAAGTATAAGAAAAATCGTTTGAAATGAGCTAGCCGATACTAACATTTTACGGAAGAAGATTGGTCGAATGTTCTGTGGTCTAATGAATCAAACTTTGAGGTAAGTCATCTTAAGTATTAACAGCCATAGCTTCTTACCTTAGAAGAATTTTGAAGACATAATACACATCTTATGAAAATATTATTTTTTCTTTTCTACACACATTTGGAACACATGGTGTGACGTTCGGGGTTGCAAGACAATGATCCTTGTCACAAATCATCGGCAACGATGCGTTGGCTTAGAGATAACAACATTGTTTTGTTAGATTGGCCAGCACAGTCTGCAGATCTTAATCCCATCGAGCACATGTGGGCTATTTTAAAACGTGAGATTAATGAATACAGTCAACAAAAACTGCCTTAAAGGAAGCTTGTACTTAATATTACTGTTATCATCACTAATTCATTGTATTTTCACTGTTTTACATATGAAACTTCATTACTTCACTTGTTAAAACAAAAAATTCAGTAATTAGTGGGGTGCCTAATACTTTTGGCCAAGGCTGTATATTAATGCTAAATGAGTTTAAGGCACTCTCATATATGTATGTATTGTACATTTTATTATATATTGATAAGACATATCAGTATTGCAAAGAGAGTAAAAAGTATGCCATGAATATTTAAAGAAGAAATGTACTTAAATATACCTATATATGTATATACATTTATACATCGGTATATACATACTACATACACTGGCGATCATGTTTTGAGTTATAATTTTTATTTAAAAAATATGTAAAGATCCAAAACATTTCGAAAAAATTTATCCATTTCTCCCAAACATCAATTTGGAATTGGCGAAAGAGATGAATCCAGAAAGTACCCAGTAAAAAAAGTGACAAATGGATAACCCAAAGATTAATCTTAGACCACTCCTTTGCGAAGAATGGATTACTCCACAAATCTCCGAGCCTCATGCGTTTATTACTCCTTTTTAGCATTACATGTCCCGACGGGCGATTACTACTTTTGAGCTCCTAATGGCGGGCAAACGCAATATTTTTTTAAGCTCTATTTGAGCACTGAAACGAGAGCAGAGGAAGTGTTATCCTTTATCTGAAGAAAGATTACAAAAAGATTAATGCTTTTCATCTCCAAAAAGAGTATAAAGAGAGTAATATTTTTTTACATTGAAAAAGAACAGAAAACCGCTCGGTGGTTTTTAATGTCTATGATAGGATTCGAGGATATTATGGAAAGTGTTAGCTAGTGATATCCCTAAATCTTACTTATCCAACAGTTGATTCATTGTGAAAGTAAATGAATACATAACAGCGAAGTATCCAATCATGGCAGGTGTTGCGCAGGGTAGTGTTCTTGGGCATATATTGTATATATTTTTCACCGCAGATATACGAAGAGATTGACAAAAGTTCAGTAAGTTGACCGGAAATAAATAAAATAAAGAAATCTTTTTGTATCTATTCGAACCTACGTAATCGCCATTGATTTCAATGCATTTCTTAAGCTTATAGATCCACTTCTGAAAACAGTCCTCAAAATCTTGCTCTTTAAGCGTATGAAATTCAACATTAACGTTGCTATTAAAGACCTTTCCTTTTAAAGTTTTTTTTTAATTTTCGGAAAAAACCAGAAATCACATGGTCGTATATCCGGGGAATATGGTGGTGGACGTATTTCTTCGATCCCAGAGATCGCAATAAAATTAATCGTTATTACAACAGGACGAATCCTCTCTCTTCTAGTTTTCCGACAATATTTTTAAAACTTTTGTTAAGCAAACTTCAGTGTATCATTTTGCAGTTGCCATCTGAACCTTTACCAGTGGATTTTAGATCGTTTGAAGCGAACTGAGATCATTACGTTTGCTGCTCGTTTTTGTTGCTTAGATTTTGCAGGTGGATCCATACCATGGACTGCTGTTTGGTTTCTGGATCGTAGTTATAGCGCCAAGATTCGTCACCAGTAACGACTTTACTATCATTCAAACCAAATTCATTGGCAATCATTTCTTGTGTCAATCGTGGTTCTTGGTCAATTTTGGATTTCACCAGAGTTACTGTGACGTCATGAGTGGAAGATTTTTGTCAGAAACACATTTTTATTTTTATTTTTAAACAGATAGTCTTACAGGAGGCTGCCAACTGGATGAAGTGTATCTATATTTTTTCCAATGGCCAGACCGCCCTTGGGCTGTAGTTTTCTTTGAAACTAGCTTGGGTAGTAGGACACCATAGCATACCAGGTAATGTGATGGCGGATGGGCTAGCATTTCCCATTCCATTTTCGCCATCATGGTGGAATCTGGGCATACTGTTTTCCGCAGTTCCTAACTTAAAATGGAATAGTATCAATTACTGCAATGCCAATAAAATAATATGGCGAATTGAACCAAGAAAATGTCGAGAGAGCTTATCTCGCTGTAAAGAAAGAGTTGTCCATGATTATGGGTCTTGTAAAACAGCATCTCTTTTATGTAGGCACGCTGAATGACTATGTGTACCATCAAATGACTTATGCAAGAATTGTAGAGAGGAGGTAGTACCTAAGGCCTTAAGACACTTTGGGAATGCTCTGCAGGTGGCGGCAACCTTTGGAGACTTGAACGAAAAACTGGAGTTTGTTGAATTATTCTATAGAATTTTTGCTCTCAATGAGATGGTGCATTATTAGTAATTTAAAATTCAAAAGTTTTCTGTCAACAAATGCGGCAGTTCTCGATGATTTTCAATTTTTAAATAGTCAAGTTGAAGACCTCTTCAGAATCAACATTGAACAATATGGAATTTCACTAATTCTTAGCTTGAGCTTTAACATCTTTCAGCCTAAAAGCTCATTGGTTAGCTAAAAAACACAAATTTTTGTATGTTCAATTGAAATTTTTTTTAATTTAATTCAAGATTTAATATTGCGCAAGTGGTCCACCGATCTCTAATGAGGCACTATATACGCTTTTCGGCGTTTTCTAATGTTATTAATGTCGGATATTGGTCTATATATGTATAAACATTTGACTTCAAGTAGTATCAGAGGAAAAAGTTCTGGGGTGTCAAATCTGGTTAACGTGTAGACCACATCAAAGAGCTGTTCTTTGGTGTGTACTGCTCGATAGCAAGGACTGTCATTAGTCTCTCTCTTCAAAGTTACAGTGTTGCTCCATGGACCAATCCAATATGGTCTACCATATACTCATATCATTGGGTGAATCGAATGGGAGTTCTTCAGTTCTGGACACGCAGACTCATGTGGATGTGAGCTCTATTAATTAATTATTGAATTAATTAATTATAATTAAGCAGTAAATTAATTGAATGTAGTTTTCTGCTTATCAGAGAGTAAAAAAAAAAATCCAAAAATATAAGAGCCAGATAAATTTTAGTTTATGATGTTTTATTTGAAGGACGAGCAAAGTTTTTGTTTTCTTTCAATTTGGATAACTCTGGCATGTGTTCTACTGTTAGTGCAGATGCACCTTTTCTCCGGGAAGTCACTGAAAATGACGTTTTATATATTTAAGCCAAAAAAGTTAAAATAAAAAAATTTTTGAAATTGTTTTTGTAACACCTTAAAAGGAGCTACTTAATTAGAGGTATCGTTATCACCAAGGTTAAGTCTCAGAAGGTGGCCGTGAAATAATTTTGACTGATTTTTGTAGCAGCGTATTGAGCACACTGGAATAAGTGTCCACTACTAACGTTATTTTCAAACTTTTTGAACTTCAAAAGCTTTATCTGGTAGCTTTAGCGCTTTCTAAAACAGTTTAAAGGGATTTTCAAAACAATATTAGTTATTTTCCAATTAATTTTGATGTTCTTTTTGCAGCTAAGGTTAAGGTTTCATTCCTAGCAGTAGATGATTTCTATTAATGGAGCCCGGACACATCTTTTCTCTCGCTAATTAAAGCAAATTACCTATTCTTTCAAGCATTCATAATTCAGTTGCTAATCTGAAGTTCTTTTTTCCAACAAAAATAAATAAATCAATAAAGAATAGAAATTAACTTTTTCTTTCATCAGCTCTACAAAAACATATTCAGTCACATTTCGAAAAATTCCCTGCATATTCACATATCAAATACATACGAGTATGCACAGCCGTACATATATTACATTCTTCAGTCTCATCTGAGCTCAACACGCGTCGGTAATGTAACATTTTTCAGCTTACTTACCTCACACTCACTTTTCATAACTCGTATAAACTTGAAATTTTTCGTTTTGTTGTTTTCGAAAATCATAAAAAGATGATATGCATTGACGGAAACCTGATCAGTCATGCAGAGCTTTGCGCATACTCATTTAACTTTTATTTAATTATTTCATTTTAATTTTACTTTTCTATTTTTTTTTTTATTATATACTCTGAAGATATATGTAGAGACTCACAGAAAAAGAAGAAGCACAAGTCGCTCATACTAACTAAACCGCATTGAACTTGTCACTCACGCTCATGGCTACCAGCTGGGGGAGAACCTAAAGGCTACGCAATCAGTCGCAGCTACTAGATCAACCGCACTGCGCTTAACTAAATCTCAGCTTCATTTCTTTCTCATTTGCTCGCTTAGCGAGCGCGTTTAAACCGGTTTCAAAGTGCGCTTCTTGCTGTAAAGATTTCAAAATTCAAATGTAAACAAACTTTTTCGAAAATCAAGCCACAGTTGATGTCGAGCTATTGCCGAGTGCGGAGGCGCTTAAAGTAAAAGTTTGCGTTTTGCGTTAAAAAAAAATAAACAAAATCAGTAGAATTTTAAGTTGCAAAAGTAAAACGCGTAACGGCAATAAATCGAAAAAAAAGTTTTGTGCAGCACGATTGCAATTTCCTATTGTATAATAAAGAGGGCGTTTTTACAGTGATAAAAAAGATATTATTTACAACCTTTAAAAAATAATTAAAATTTTTTTTTTAATTGAAATCCGCCCTCAAGTATTAAGTGTCTCAAGGGGGTGTGGAGTTCACAAAGTCCAAACAACAATAACAACAACAGTGAATCTGGCAATTTTCAAAGGCGTATGATTTTTCCTGTGTCATTTTGCATACAAACTTACGTGCAAAAAAATTAAAAATATTAAAGTGATTAAAATATTTGCTATTAATAAATCATAGATTCATTTAGTTCATAACCATATATTTATTTAATTGTCTATGCTGTAACGAGATGTATGCAATCAAGTGTTGGAATACATACATTATTTTTCTGCTGGCAATCTTATCAACATTAAATGCGAAAACATACGCCGAAGGGTTTGACGATGGAAAGCGTAAGTTGTGTAGAAGAGATAAGAGTACTATATATGGATTAATTATTACAAATCTTAATAACTAATATAATTACAAGTGTATTATGTGCTGTGTAGTAATCAAAAATGATATTAATTCGCCTACTTTTGTCTTATATATTCATTAAAACCGTTAAACACACACCTTAGGTAGCAACAACACAAACATTAAGCAGTGAAGGGAAGCACTAAAAATTAGCTTACTTTTTGTACTTCAAAAAAGGGAAAAAATAAGAATTTATCGGTAGTAAATGCTGTTGCGGCCGCGGTAGCCGCGTGGTTAGCATTGTGTGCTGACATTCGGTAGGCTCAGGTTCATATCTCGATGTCACCAACATCCAAAAGTTATGAAAAATTATTTGAATTAAAAAATTAAGTTATATTTTCTAAACGCAGTCGCCTCACGGCAGGCAATGTTCATCCCTCCGTGTGTATTTCGGACAAGAAGTTAAGGCTGCTCATAAAAAGACCATCAACCGGGTCAACAGTTTCGGTGAATGGATTGCGCTATCGAGAGATGATCAATAATTTTTTATGACCAGAATTGTATAGTATTGATCGGGACCATGTTTACTTTTAACTAGACGACACTACGTGCCACACAAGTAACGCAACCAACGATCTTTTATGAGAAAACTTTCCGGATCGTATTATCTCTCCAAAAGGTGATCGCATACTGCCACCGAGATCGTGCGATTTGACACTATGCGACTTTTTTTTCTGGGTCCAAGTAAAACACAATGTCTAAGCTAACAGGCCAAGGTTGAATCAAGGCCTCAAAGAGGGCAGTTGTGTAACCGCTTTGCGATTTGGTGATGGAAAATTCCATAAAAACGATCCTGTAAGCATAGCCGTGGCGGCCATTCGGCTGATACTATGGTCTCTATTATTAATGGCATATCTTACTATATACATTGAAATAAACAACCGATATTAATCATTCAATGATCAAAATAACACCCTTTATTGGAAAATTCTGTGTACGTGTAGATAACACTGTGACTCCGTGACTCCGTTCTGTAAGTCCGTTCTGTAAGTCCTTTTATCACCACCTAATCTAAGCAGGCTGGATTATTTCATTTATAAGGGCGAAAGCACACTCCAGAGCACTTATAATTTCCCTCGGTGTGAATTAATAGCAAAACTCTCTAAAATATTTTATCTGCCTGTCCCCATTAATGGTTTCTTTAAATGTTTATTTATATATTATATTTTTATTTGGAAACACACAGCATATTCGATATCTATGTATTGTAGAGATTATAAATTATTGTTTACCAAGTAATAAACTAATTAACATACATACATATGTACACTTCATATCAGCTTTATATTTTTGTACAAGAATATCTAAAACCACACTTTTATTACCCTTTGCTGTGATAATTTGGTCCAAAAAAAAATATATTACCGACAGAATTATTAGCAAACTAATTAATAAATGCATAATTTACTATCATTTACAAAGAAGAAGAAGAATTTTAATGCAATAAATTCAAGCAAAAAATGCTTTATTAACCCCTTCACTTATTAATCGCTTAATGAGGTGTCATAATGCTGATAACCAGATTTTTTTGCAACTGATTAACCTGTAGCTGATACTTATCTTTTGTCATTTTATGTCAAGAAGAATAAACAAAATTCAAAAAAATTATCTTTTACTTAAAAACTTAAAATAAAAAACTAGATTTCTCATTTGGAAAATAACCCATGGACGATATTGAATTTTATATATAATTTAGATTATTTTATGTCAGAGAATATAGATACAAAACGTTTAACACAATTTAGCGCCGATTATAAGGAGCTATGGCGCACAGCTGTCCACTAACTAGTTATTTGTGCATACATTTTTGATGTTTTACTTATAGTTTTGTTCTTGGTGCAATAATTTGTTTACAAAAACAGAAAACCAATAATTTGTATATAAAATCTAATTTATTCAACCGCGTGTGATTGTGATTTATGCCTCTGGCACCGGAACTGTTGAAGCTAAAAGCCCTTAAAGTTTGAGAAACACTGTGTGTTTGTTAGAACTGTGAAATTACTTGTAGGTGTTTTTATTTCTTATTTGCAAAATATATGCACAAGGATTTCCACAATTGCCATTGAACAGTTTTTGATATTAAAACGTTTTCGTGCGTATCTTTTAGTTTCTGAATATTAAAACTAATAAAAAGTAGTTTTGAAAAAGGCTGGATACACAAAGTAGCTCGATGTATGGGTGCCGCATGAATTTAGGAAAATGTCGTGCTGCGAATCGCTGCTGAATCTAAACAAAATCGATCTACGACCACCGACGATTTGTGGTGAAAAGTGGATTACTACACCAACGTCAAACAAAATCTATCGTGGTCGAAAGCAATTATTGGCAAGGAATCAATGGAGGGAATAATATAGCAGAAGCGTCAACAGGAGGGCGTGTGGAGGGTGTGTATTTCATCCAGACAACGTCATCGATAATGACTCGCCAGAAGCTCCGGGAGTTTTCAAACCTCTCAAAGGCGAAGTTGAGGAATAGTGTTTTCGACCCACTGCGGGTTAGGGGTTTCAAGAATTTACCCGCGGTAAGTCGAGTCTTTATACCGGAACGACCCGGATTTTTATCCGGTCAAGGACTCCCGCAACATTCATCAAAAAATACTTAGACTAATATTTTAGCGGTTATAATAACAACAACAAAAACAAAAATATCTTCGTTGTGCCAGATATCAAACGGCTTACGGCGCTGATCCACAATTTATCACATCCTAAGCGGGGGATGCTCAAGAAGTGGGGTGGATATGTGGCGAAATTTTTAAGCAATAACAAATCGCTTAACTGCAAATAAAATCTAAAAACTTGTATAAGCAATTCAAAGCTTCAGATTGTTTATAAAGTTCAAAAGTAAAAATTTTCTTTGACTGATGTGAATAAAAAGCAGGGTGAACGATATCACCAAGAACATTAAGGAGTGGAAAAAAGTCAACATAGAAGAGGAAGCCTCTAAATGATGGCAAACTTATATTGAAGGCTGCAGAAAGAGATGCTTCCTATAAAAAAATTTAAAAAAGTGATGTTTAAAAAAAAAATATATATGTTTAAATGTGAATGTATATCTTAGATAAAAAAAGTTTTCTTGCAAAGTTATTACTATAAATATTTTTTTTTTGTCTAGTCAACTTTTTCTTTGCAGATTCGTGTAATATTTTTTTTTTTTTTTGCTTTTCGACCAACATTAATTCTTCATTTAAAATCTCCAAAAAAAAATTTAAATCTTGCTTGAAGCTGACACATTTTTGCTGTTTACTTAAGTAATTAACTATAAGTGACAAAGCTGATTGGAACACGGGTTTTTATTTTAACGGTCCCTTTTTTATATTTCTAACCGATTCTCTCTTCTTCACCGCCAAAAAAATGTTTGTTCATAAATTATAATTTCTTTGTGTTTTTTGTTTTTTGTTTACGTTAAACCTGTTTTAAAAATTAATTGAAATTAATGAAAGAAGCTGCTTTACTAGACGCCACATGTGAAATGATAATAATATGCAAATCGATGAAATTATAATCATTTTATTATTAAAAAAAGAAAATTAATAGAAAGTAAAATAAAAAAAAAAAAAAATAAAAATAAAAATAAAAATAAAAATAAAAAAAAAATAAAAATAAAAATAAAAAAAAATTAAAATTAAAAAAAATAAAAATTAAAAAAAATGAAATTCAAAATAATTAAAAAATTAACTTTGAATGGAATAAAAAAATAGAAAAAAATATTAAGGAAAATGAAACGGAAGTATATTTAATTAAATTAAACGAAATGTAATGAAATAAATTAAAATATTAAGTAATTACTAACTATCCTTCCAATAGTTTAACCTCACTTTTTCTAAGCAAAATTTATTTTCTGTTAAAATTATCGATCTTTCTCTGAAACACTTCTCGTAAAGAAAACTACAGTGTGCTTATGCAAAACTAACTTTCAGACCAAATTTCAAACAGTCATTGGGTCCAGTCATTGGGTCCCTTTTGGAAAAAGTTTCTCTACCTTTATGTCCATCGAGGCTAAGCGTAAATACGATTTTAAAAAAAAAGTAAGTTCTTGTACTTGATTCCCGATTTTCTCAATTAATGCGAAATCAAAGTACATAAATTACTACACATGCTTTCGGCATTATGTGGCTCTGTTCGTCATCGAAGGTAGTCGTTTTTTCAGATCTATTATTATGCTTTTAGGCTTCATTGGACAATGCTAAGCCATGAAGTGAATAAATTAATTGCTTCGCTAGTTTTTGGCTTATTTGGAATTTTTACAGTGATTTTTTTGTTATTGTTTTATATTATCATACTCAAAATAAGGTTGATGTAGCCCAGCTTAAGCTTATTTAAATCGTTCAGTGGTATAATTCGATAACATATCGATAACAGTAAGTCTAACTGAACTACTTTTGGCTCTGTAAACTCTACTCTCTGGTTAAAATAAATTGAATCAGTGTTGAACCAAAATACAAATCTATGTGGAAATTTGAACTGAAAAGTATTCTCAAATATAGTGATATCCATTTCAGGCCTGTATGTTGACATCTGTCAAACTAAGCTGTCAAAAGAAACATATTTTGATTCAGTTTAAAGTCAGGCATTTCTGAAAATGGACCGCTTAATAACCGCAATTATTAAAATCTTCGACAGAAGTGGTGGAAGTGATTCAAGCGTAGCCACGTGTCGTACTTTTAGCTGGGATTGTGGTGCACATAATCGTCCAATTACTCTACTCAAGTTATTGGTAAAATTTCAAAGACTCTTAAAGAAACTGATTCGATTACAGATATTGTAAGGCCTTTGCTCGTTCCGTCTCAAATATCGCTACTGTAAGTAAAAGTGTAACCGCTTACCCGAATGTATATATATTGCGACGTTCTCAAGAGCTGTGACTTTCTTATGGCGAATTATAGCATGTGGCTTTATTGGCGACATCCCGGCTTTGTAATCTCTGATCTAGGCGATGTCAATTAGCCAACGAGGCCGTGCGATTCGGCGCTGTTGGACTTTTTTTTGTGAAACTACGCGGAAGATAGTGTTTTTGCGGATAAACCATTAACTTCTGGGCACTTGAAAATCAGCATGACATACCACCCAGCATGTGCCAAGAGTTTGGAAATTACGTCAAGCAGATGAGAAGTTTGCGAAAATTCGCAAGGCAGTCACTTGGATGATGTACTGTATGGATTTATAATAAAGTAGGAATTTCATAAAAAAAAAAAAAAAAATTTAAATGCAATTTATTTACGTTTATTTTTGAAAGCACAAAACGAGTAGCCCTGAATTTTTTTTATATGAAAAAAAAATTTTTTTTGTATAAATATTTATACTAAAAAGAGCTATTGTTGTGAATTTCTTCGGTGCTCATTCCATATCTAAAAGAAATTGATTAATTGAGCCAAAATCTGCAAACACTCATAAATAATTTGTTTTCGTTTTATTTTTAAATACAATAAATTAAAAAAAAAAATTTCTTATGTAAATTTATTAAATCAGCAAAAAATCTTAGGGAAAGAAGATGAAAGATAAACTGGAAATATTGATGAAGTAGCATATATATGTCTATATATATGTACACGTACATATGTATGCATATACGCATGTAATTAAAGCCGTGGAAGACGAAATTAAAAGATAAAAAAATTAACATCCATCAAAAAAAAAAGTTAAAAAAAAATCAAAATAAAAATGAAAATAACAATTTCCTACGCCGCTTGTAATTCCCCCGACAGTGGTTTAACCTACTCGGCACCGGCTAACATCGGTTACCAAAACGCAATGAACCGGTTCTGTAATAATATGCGTAGAACCCCTTAAAAATGCATACTTTAGTAGATACATATCTATGTATGTATGTAAATTACAAAATTGTCTCAGTTTAGCGCACGCATTTATCGGCAGAAAGGAAATGAATGTATGAGTACATACATGCATATGTATGTATGTGTTCATGCGCAGCATCTTCATCTAAATTGTTTTATAGGCCACATGATACGTGATTTGTTGTAATGCTCATATCGTAGTAGTTACTTATTAATTATAGACTAGACAATAAATTAATGATGGCCATGAGCTAACGCTAACGAGCGGTTAATTGATGAAAATCCCGCGAAAAGAGGCAGTTGATGTTGATGCCGATGACGAAGTGCCCCACTGCGACGGGGTACTCCAGTGAGGCATTGAAGATATACTTTAGTGTAGTATATACATACATACATATGTATGTAGGTAGGTGCGAGTATGAGTCAAATGGTGTCAGATTCGCTCTACGATCATTTCGCCGCATGGCAACTCGTTTAATGAGACCGGTAATATTCGTGCTACTCTGTTTCTTTCAACTTTCAAGGTTACTTTAGTTTTTGTAGAAATATCGCGGTAATCTTTAATTGTATCAAAAATCCAATTAATTTGTATATAAAAAACACAACACTTTTTCAAAAGAGGTATATGTAAAATAACCGTTTTTTATTTGCATAATACTTTCAAATATGCCAAAATAGGTCAACACTCAACGTTCAAGAAATTGTCTTCGTATAAAAGGTTTTCCAATAAAAGGTGTTTGTTCAATGTTTATTTCAATGTAAATAGAATGATATGTCACTAATAACGGAAAACTGGATCAACCGAATGGCCGCCACGTCTACGCTCACAGGCTCTTGTCCTTGTTATGAAATTTTCCATCACCAAATCACAAAGTGGCTGCTGTGTGCGCACAACAGTTTCACGAATTCCATCTTTGAGCTCTTGATTCGACATTGGTCTTTTTGTCGTAGATCTTACCTTCCACGTGGCTCCTAAGTGAGAAGTTGCACGCGATCACTTCTTTGAGCGATAAGACGGTACGAAAAGTTTTCTCTTAAAAGATTGTTGGTTTCGTTGCTTGTGTGGCAACAAGACGGCACTGTTGAAAGCAAACATTATACCAATTCCGACCATCGAAAATCATGTCTCGATAGTGCAATCCATTCACTGTAACTGTTGCTCCAGCCTCATTTTCGAAAAAGTAAAGTACAAAGACATCGATGACCATAATATCTGCCTTAAAAGAGTCTAACCAAAAATCTTCTTGAAAATCGTTTAAGTCGTGGTTGGAAGCAGCTATTGCCAACCAGAGCTGATGGTCTCTCACCGAAACAAAATAGTAGTATGCCTGGTAGATCAATACTGGGAGCAATCGAGCATAAAAGAAACTCAACAAGGTGCTCACAAATTCAAGCGAAGAGTCCCACTCTTCGCACTGTATGTATTCGCCTTTAACATCGCGCCAAGTGAAAGGACATGATTGAGGCCTTAGAAAACATATATTACATGTCTCGGTATCTTATCTCAATACTGAAAAACAATATTAAGGACAGAGTCTTACTTTACCAAACCACAGACGAAGTACAGCGAAAACACAAGGTGACAGCAAGATAGTGTACGGCTCTCGGGCCAGACCTCTGGCAGATCAGATACGATGGCATGTTAGACCTTGGAATTTCTGAGAATTTTGCTTGTGAATTTTGCTAACGTCAAACTACTGCACACGTTACGGAAGAGTTGATCAGGGTGGTCTCAAGCTCGCAACAAAAAAAAACCGAGTTGCTGCTATTAACGATGAAGCACATTCCTCTAGAAAACGCTTTGCACCACAACCTCAAATATGGTGAACTCACGAAAAGTTATTAGTTAAGTGTAAAATTGTTCCCTAGACTGTGATACTGGAGTCACAGCTTGCTGCGGACAAAAGCTCATTTCTCAGCTTAGCAGACTGATTGGCAATATTGAAGGGCTGAGTCGAAAAAATGCTTCTAAGGGCAAAAACTTTCAGTATTCCCGACAATTTCCGTAGCCGAGTTATGGGCGGCTCACTTCAAAAAGAATTTAAGACGAATGGTACTAACCAAAGTCTAGCGCAAACCAGCTTTAAAAGGAGCGTCAGAATACTACATAGTATCTTGGCTGCCGAAAAGAAAAGAAGCTGGACACTCAAAAAAAAAAAACGGGCGACCAAGGAAGCATTGTTTACTAAACAAAAAAGGGCATGAAGAAGGAAACTCTGAACAATTAGCAACCCCGATGGGAAGTCTGAAAATGTGGCTGATGGACGACCAGGTTTATAACAGACGTCAGATTTCGTAAAGCCGGGGATACGTCATATATCTATGACAATACCAACGAAGAAGACTCACCAATTGACTCGCTGGTTATACAAAAAAGGGAAGTATATTTGAAAAACGTAAGGGAGAAAAAGTAGTACGATCGAGAATGCGTGACCTGAACTCAGAAAGCGAGATATAAATGTCACTATGAGAAAAATGGAACGCCAGCCTAGAGTAATGCGGAAGACGGTTCCAAGACGTACGAAGGTGATCTGCACATACCATTGGTGACGATTCACTGAAGATGCGGAACGGATATAGGGCTAAGGTCTGGATGCTGTAGTAGTCTCAAGTCTTACTTACACAGAGTTCACCCGAACATAGCCAATGTCTGTCCTGCATGCGATGAGTCGCCGGCAGCCATTAACTATCTCTAACACCTACTCTTTATCTAACACCCCTCCCACTTCCGGTCCGAATACGTTTAAAAGGCTTCTTCTTCTTTTTAGTCATATTTTTGCTGCTTAAAGCCGATTAGAGAAACCAAGGGAAACCATATCTCTCTTGGCTTTAACTTCCCAAACTATAGCAGTCACTGTTTTGACAAGAATCGTCCTTTCTACTGCGCGAAGTACCATTGCATGTTATCAAGGTTCTAGCATTACAAGGCCGGAAAGTAAGATGAATGATATGGAGTATAGTCTTTGTTCGCCCTTTTGGGGGTTATTGGAAGCGGCTATAAAAACGACCAAGAGATTTTTTTGTTTGGACCTCTTTCTCTAAGATTATTTTTGAGATTTCAAAGAAAGTCGTTGAGCTAAAGCCAAACTGAACTCTTTCCTCCGATTTGTGGGATGTGCCTTGATATTTTTCCAACAAATGGAGTTATTTACGGGTTATGCCAAGTATTCTTCGTACGGTTGATGAATATTTATGAGGAGCTTTTTATTTTATGGTAGAAATTCATTCGGGAGCATTGACACTTCAGAGGGGTTGGCATTCCTTGCCAGGCGACGGAGCGCAGCTAGAAAAATTAACTTCATTTTACAAAATTTCAATAATTTTGGATGTTGGTCTGACCCAGATTCAAGCCTTCGATCCGCCGTATGCTAGCCACTGCGGCTACTGCGTCTCTCCTTTATTTTTTTTTCAGTTTTTAATAAGAAAAATTCCTCTCTATCTCTCTCACAGTACGCGTCTGCATCGTGGAGTCTCGTGGCACATATCGCAAGACACCGAAATTTTGTCCGCTCCTCGAGGCTACCAGTAATATTGAGTGTGTGATTGGCGTAGATCGTTTGGATTGTGTGCGTCGGATACACAAGGGCACAGCGCATTTTGGCGTACTCTCCGCAGAGGAGTTAATAGCCGCGCGTTGGGCTAGCATGGAAATTCTGGTTACAAGTGAGATGCGTTCACATGATGCACATTTCGAATATGAAATAGTCGCTGTGGTCGACAATGAAGCAAACATACACACAGCACACGATCTGCGTGGTGCGAAGCTTTGTCATCCCGGTTATGGATTGGGTAATCATTGGACGGATGTGTTGGCTAATGTGAGTATGATCTTAAATGATATATGATGGTGGAGAACTTTACTGAAACACAAGCATTTCTTTATTTACACACAGTACTTTGAATCGACACTCATCTCCAAGTCGTGTAATCCGGAAATTTCGCTGGTAGAAGATCGCATTAGTGCTTCAGCAAAATATTTCGGTCCCAGCTGCAAGGCCGGACCATGGGTACCGAATCCAACAGAGGATCGTCGACTGAAAGATCGTTATCCATCGCTTTGTCAACTTTGTTACGATTCATACCGTTGCGATATTGGCGATAAGCATTGGGGACGTCGTGGCGCGCTCTACTGTCTGACAAATGGTGTTGGCAATGTCGCTTGGGCGCGTTTAGATGATGTGCGCAGTCATTTTGGCGTAAGTTGTGAGCTATTTCTTTTTTTTTTTTTTTGTATTGAAGTTCCAAATTAACGCTCTCAAAATCTTTATTTCAGTTAACGGGTCTGCCACCACAAGCGAATCCTTCGGAGTATAGTTATCTGTGCGCAGATGGTCATCTCCAACCTATCACAACGGAACATCCTTGTGTTTGGGCCGCCAAACCCTGGCCGGTTATAGCAGCGCGCCGCAGTCATGCTGCTCAAATACAAAATTTGGTCGCCGGTTTGAATCACAACGAGCCAAACAGTTGGCAGAATGCTTTACTCAGCTTATTGGAGAATTATCATGTCGAAATCGTCACACTGGATAATGTTATACCCATCGATGATTACCTAGATCAAGCGCCTGCATTCCAGAGCGCCTATAGCTTCCCCGAGTGTAATCCACCTCGTTCAATAGTATTCTGCACCACCTCGATAATTCAGCATATTAAGTGCTCGTGGCTACAGGAAGCCTCACAAGTGTATGGCGTCGAACCGAATTTACAGTGCGTACGCTCCGAGAGTACTGACTCCTGCATGGATGATATTAAATACAAATCCGCTGATGTGGTGCTAGTCGATCACGAAAATCGCATTAAGGCTCAGCGTGATTACAATCTCGTGCCAATACTATACGAATACGCCCAGGATATGCATGAACGTTATGTCATTATAGCTGTGGTGCACAAAGATTCGAAATTCAAGTCTTTCGAAGATCTAGAAGGCGCCAAGGCCTGTCTATCCTCTTTCGAGGGGCCAACACACTTGTCTGTACAGGAAACTATCGTAAATGTTACGCAACGTATGACCAGCTTGCAATCGTATTTCCACCGCGACTCCTGCACATGGCATCCGCAAGCGCACCGCAGTTGTCCGGATAGTTATCGTGGCGATGAGGGCGCTCTACGTTGCTTGGCCGAAGGTGGTGAAGTTGCCTTCTTAAGTTCGGCCGTCTATAAAAACTATACAGTCGGCAATTTGACGGCGAAATGGGTGCGCGATACTGGACACAAATCATTCCGCGTACTGTGCCCGTACGGCGCCAATGAGCGTCACTCTAAATTCGAATACTGTTACATGCACTGGACCACACGTGGTCATCTAATGACGCACAACAACTCACTGACGCGTAATAACGAAATTTATAATTCTTTGCGTGATATCGATCAACTCTTCGGCAAAAGTTATCGACCAGAAACTCGTCCGTTCACAATGTATGGTGTATTTGATAAACGTAATAACGTTATGTTTCGCGATAAAACGGATGGACTGAGAGGATTGTCGGACTTGAAGACAGACAACTCGAAACGAATTATGGAAGACATTTTCGAAAAATATGTGCAAAATTTGTACGTTGATCCAAATTCGAGTCAAACGTTGAGTTGCCCTTTCACACTGGTGGCGATTTCGTTAGTTTTAGTCGCGAGAAGATTAGTGATTGCAATGTTGTGATCATTTACACACAAAAAGTCATTAATTTAATTTATACTCGATATGCTACTTGAGAGACGAGTCTTACGTATACTTATTTGCAAAGAAAAAAGTATGCGATTTTGTGATATTATTTTATATTCTTCGTTTGTATTTTTATAAGCTAAATGCCATCCAAGTATCTTATCTTTCGCAGGTGTCTGTTTATATCAATAAATGTAATACTGAAATGTCATATCATTCCAACGGCAAAAAAAAAATATTATTCTTCCCACTTTTTTTCGTCCGGATTCCGTTTTGAATTCAAATTAAATAATTTTGGTTAAATTATTGAAATTAAGTGTTAATGCGTCACTCGATTTTATTCGATTTTTAAGAAAAGAACATCGATTAAATTGGCCTTAAGGCGGATGCCCACGGTATGATACCAGAGCACGTCAAATAACGAGAAGGACTGCTGTGAACTGCCAGAATCGACGAAAGATATAAGAGACTATTTCACCATTGCCGCCAAAAATTTGATCTGTTTGTAAACATTTCTGAGCAAGATAATAATAAATTAATAAAATAATTGTCTTCCAAATTTCATTATTCTGTAAATAATTTGTCAGCCTCTGCGAACCATTAACTAGCGGTTCAATAGTCTCTTACTAATATCGTATAGAGGTGAAATAGTCTCTTTGCAATCCTCTAGGTGGAACGGATCAAAGCGATAGCGTGCGCCAATGAAAGCTTTATTAACTTTTCGCATAATTATATGATATTTTTTATTTTTTAATAATACCTTAAAATTTTGGAAATCATCATTGCTAGAGAATCCTTCTGTTATAGAAAATATGCCAGCCATTTAAATGCCGCGAAAAACTACGCTCAATCTGAGAGGATTTAATTTATCGGAATCTAAGCTCGAATCCGATTATTCAACGAATTTGGTGTTAAGTATTCCGATTCATTGAAGAATTGCAAATTACGAAGAATCTTTAACTGGCGGTTTTAGTCCTTTTTCACATTTTTTAATTTATGAAGCATTAAAACGACTGCAATGTGTTGTAATTTGCATCTCTAAAATAATTTTATGTTGACCAGTAGGCAGGGCGATTATAATAGATAAGAATTCATCAAGGCGAATTCATAAAGGAGCGGGCACAATGCACAAAATATCAGTTCTAGCCTTTTTTCACCCAAATCACATAATCACAATTCTCAAAAATTTCACAATTACAAATTGAAAGTCAAATAAAATAAAGCAAACAAATCATAACCTAAAAAATAATTTTGCAAATCAACAAGTATAATGTATGAAACAAAAACTTTAATTCGGGGACGGGGAAACTTCACCCTGTTGAATTCGCTTTAAAATACATATAATCCGAGAAGATATATTTAACAGCCAGATAATTAATATTCGAGTCTATCCAAATTAGTCTCTTTTTACTGTGTCTAATTTTCTGGCAAACACAATTTTTGTGCCAAGAAGATAATTATTTACAAAAATTTCACTAGAAAACATGACCATTTAAATCTTTAAAGAAGTATACAGAGGTGAGTTGTAGAGTTTTCCGACAAAGTTGTTTTTATGACCCTACAGAGCCTTCCTGCCAACTACTGATTGCAGATCTAAATTCTGCTTCTTATTTATAAGCGTAGGCAGCGGAAATCCTTGGTCATCAGCGGTTCAAGCACATTTTTTAATAAACAAACAGTGAAATGGTTAGTATCTATTGAGCGGATGTATGTACAATATATATTAAATGGTTTAAGTCACATTCAACAACTAAAACTTTTCAAAGTACGATCAACTCCTTCATGGGTTCACAAAACAAATTTTTCAATTTTTTTTTTTTAAGAAGTGATCCATGGCTGAAAATATGCGGTCATTAAGTAAATGTAAACAATGAAAGAGATTTAAAAATCTTAAATAAGTATAGGTTTGACACAAGCAACAAACAAAAACAATTTATTCCGCATCCGCTATGCGTGAAATAATCAAAAGATACGGAAACTTCATTTTACTTTTCTCACAGCGCCATCTGTGCGTCGTTTACTTCTTTCGGATTGTTGACATTTCCTCAATCAGCTGCTTTGCCGCTAATTTTGTTGCTTGTAATTCAATTCATTTATTATTTGTTACCACATGTACACGCCGCACGCCCTCTAATCAAATGATTAAACCGCAACGGTTGTTAAGCAGCCAATAAAATTGCCATAACAAAAATATTTGAAACTTTCATCACAATGACGACGACAACTACGCAACCACATGATGAGTGGACAAATTTGTGCTAGTAATTCATTGATTAAACACAAATAAAGACGTGAATGAGATACGAGATTGCTTTATACAATTGTTTAAAATTAATAAATATCTAAGCTAATACTCATATTTACAGTGATAGTTACATACAGAGAGAGCGCGAAAAATAATAGTATGTCGAAACCGCAAACAAGAACGACACAACTAAGAAATGTGAGCGTATGAAACTTTTTTACTTTTGCGTTGAAGTGCAATTTAGTGATAATGAAACCAGTTTTCAGTACATTAATTTGTTGTGCTCACATGAAAATCAATTTCCTTTGTTTTCTTTCAATAACAAATCAACACTGAAGTGCACTGCATTATTAATCGAAGTGTTTTTATTTTATTTTTCTTTTACTTTTTCAATGCCAACTTTTTTAACGCGGACACACAAAGCAATTTCTTTCTTCTCACACACGCTCTATATTTTAATGGTGTACATACAAGCAGACACATGAGTTTTAATAAAAAATGGAATATATGCACACAAGTGTACATACAAATGCTTCATCTTATTAAAGCTTTAATTAAAATAAAATGTTCTTTTTTTCTTGCAAATTAATTTATCTACTGTACAATTATTGCCGTCAGTATCGGATATTTTCGTTTCACTTTGAATGTACATGTAGGCAGATATATGTATGTATTTATATTTATATTATACACACAAACTTACTTTATACGGCTTTCTGTTTTGTTTTGAATTTTAACACTGGTTTTTTAGGTCAATGGCTTTATTATACTGAGTTGTGCTGTTTATATTAACTTGTTTACATACAAATGTATGTAGGTATGTATATAAATATGGTAGTATAGTAAATATTCGCACAATCACAAGAGTTTTTCTGCCACTTTTTCCGCAATTCCACTAGCCGGCGCCAACAGCACTACTGTATCCAACAGATATGCATTTGTATCTGTTGCGCCCAACTGCCCAAACATCTGCTTGTGGATGATCGAAGAAACTGAGAGAAAATCGCTCTCTATTGTCATTGCACGCTACAATGAAATGTCTCGCCCCCATTGGTTAGGCACACACTGTGAGTTCAACGACAAAAGAAGCAAGAAGTGAAGAGAATGCATCTAATAATTTTGCATTGGTCGTATGTAGTTATTCTGGTAACACCATGTACGGACTGTACATCGTATATGGCGACCGCGATGGCCCAGTGGTTAGTATACAGCCGTTCGGAAGGCCAACGTTCGAGTTCTCGTCTGACCATCTCCAGAAAAAAAAATTATCGGAAATTCCGTTCAGCACCTCGAAGTGTACTTAGGACATGAAATAAAGGCTTCTCATTAAAAAAAAACCATCAGCCGTTCGGAGGCGGCTTTGTATAAAGTGTAGGTTCCTCCATTTTTTGGAAAATATCAAAACACATACCACAATTTGGTGTAGGAGCTCATCCGAAATTCGCTTCAGTGCTTACAAAGCGCCGATGACATATATATATCTACATATATCGTCTATGAGGGTCTTCTCAAGGGTTCAATCTGTCTAGCCTAACCTAACCTCTCTCTATTATCAACAATTTCTTCTCTACTCCAAGAGTCTTATGATTATGGCCAAAATTTGGCAGCATTTGACTAAACAGACGGTGTAATAACATATCCGCTACATTACACAGCTCCACCAAGCAGTATTCTCTTCCTTGCGCTACTCCATTCGATAATTTTGAAATCTGTCATCCATACACAGCCTTCCGAGTTTCTAGAAGATACCTCATGCCTCTTCTACTCCGCTATACCTTCTCACTTACATAGATCTTCTTTCCCGATATGAGCTTTTGCTGCAGCGAATTCTTCTCAAAAACAGTCTCTTCTGGTAGCTCGAAACCTCTAACCAAAGTCTCTAGAACGTAACAGATCAAAGAAGAAGTCCTGTGAAATTTGAACTTAGTTAAGTCTGCACTTCGCAGCCATTCTGGTTAGTTCGTAAACATTTCGTCACAATTCTACCGTGAGAGTCAGCTGATACTCGCGCGCTCTCTATTCGAGGATCGGAGCGTTGTCTTCATTGGATAGATAGAGATTTGAAGCATCACGACTAAACTTTATTAAAAGCTTTCACTTAACTCAGCACGATTTCAAAAAGAATGCACCTTTCAATTAAGTAAGTACCTTTTGACAAAGTTTATAAACAACGAATGCAGTCGGAAGCTTTTTACAATACAATTTTCTTACCATAGGGTGTTAAGACAACAACAACTGCGACAGCAAAAGGAACATCTAAGTCAAGTAATCCAACAAAAGGTGCAAGTGGTTCCTCTACCTCTTCTACCGTGCAACGTAAAACCACAACGACTGGCTCAACAGCAGCAACCGCCAACCGCGCTTTGGACGAGACGAAGCTCAAGCTAAAGAACACCGCAACGACACGAAGAAAAGAGATCGTCACCACCGTTAGCAAAAATCCAATTCAAAGTGATGTGGTGAAGCCGTCACAAAATACCGTCACGAGAAAGACAACCACCATCACCACCGGGCGAACAGCTACTACCACCAAAGCAGCGCATAGTCAAGTTTTGCCGACTGCAACTACGAGAAGAACTGTGCCAGCCACGACGAGGAGAAGTGCCATTACTGAACAACCCATACGCGCCAAACACAATCGAGATGTTGCTAATGCAGTTAAGAAGAAACCGACCAACGCTATTAAACCCAATGCAGTGTTAGATACGTATCATAGCGTCACAGTAGCATCACCACCACCGCAACGTAAAGAAATCAGAGCAGAGCCGGCACATGAAAATGTTCCACCGAGCAAAACCGAAAGAAACGGCGCTACAGAGTCAACTGACGACGACGCAGTTTCGAAGAATCTCGAAGAACACCCTAAACGTGTGCGCACACACTCTTTGAAGGAGGAAGACATTGTTGTTTTACGCAGCGACTCAGCTAAGCGGAGAATAGAGCAGCAGATACTGGCAGATGGTGCCATTGCTAAAGAGACAAATTACCTAAAATTAGATACTGATGAAGTGATAACACATAGCGGGGTTGTTAAAGAACCGGTTGCATTTGAAGTTGCCTTCGAAGAACCGGCGAGCAGTAAGTCAAGGGCGAAATCGCGTGATCCCTCCGTAATACGCAGCAAAGCAAGAATAGCAGAGGTTACAAAAGAGCCAGAGGTGGATAATTATTCTGACGACTTTGAATCATACGAATCGGACTTTGAGACCAGCTCGTCTACGCAAAATAATTCGGTTGCGGACAGCGAAAGCGATACATCGCCTAACAGCACTGATGATGGGGAGAATAGTAAAAGTATTACTGCCACAACATCAGATGAGGACGAAACGGGTAGTAATCATGAAGCAGCCGTTAATGATACCGACTGCGAGGAGGAATCTGAATTAACACAATTTCCCGTAACGGTAATACAACGCGATAAAGAATATGAGCGCAAACTAGATTCGGGCAACTATGAAATGAACTCACGTAAACATCCTAAACTTGCTGAACTCACTACACAAATAAATGAGAAGCATTTCGATAGCATGGACACCTCTTACAGTGTCGCGTCTACCGATCAGCTTGATTCGGGCATCAGCAGTTATGCGCATGCGCACAGCACTCCAGGTGAGGTCGATAAATACGGTGGCATCGTATGCACTTACGGCGGCTATGCTCACTTCAACACACGACCCATCTTGCGCAAACGCGGCATCGAGCTTATGAATAAAATTCAATTTGATACTCTAACATTTTCGCTGTTCGAACTGAAACCCATCAGCTATGACGTTTACATGCAGACCTACGGTACACTCAATACTACGCAATGCTCGACGCAAACCAATGATAATCGCATGTCGAGCGAATGTCAAACGGACAGTTATGATATGCGCACGATGTGGACTCAACATCCACCACAGTATGACCTGCAAACAGTGCAAAAATTCGGCACAGGCATACATGGAGCATTGGCGATACAAAACTGTTGTGGCGAATCGCCAATGGAAGAATACAAGCCAACGCCGAGCACGGATAAGTACGACATCAGCTTACAGAAGCTAGAAGTATTTCGACAGAATAATAATGATCGCTTAGTCAGTGAACAGCTTAAAGGTCTACACAAACCCTTAGACTTCGAGCGCTTAAACTCGTTTCTTCTGCGCTCTGCCGTACTCATGTCTAAAGTGTTGAACTCTGCGCAGGATAGTAGACAAGAAGCGCGCCTACATAAACTGACACCGAACCAACATAGCCTCCAAGAAGTAAGCGAGGGTTATATGCGTCTAGAAACAAAACTCTTAAATGCACTACGCGTAGTGCGTGTATTTGCTAGTGCTCGGCATGAGCTCATCATAACAGTGCATACAAGTACACCCGATGCAGACGTTTATCGCGCCGATTTCTCCCACCTGCTAATGGTTTGGTCTACCAGTGATGGCACGAAACCCTTACGCCTGCTCTCCACGTGGAGTGAGGTTTGCCGTGTCGAGATCTGTCATGACAGCGCGGACATTGTAGTGTGTGGTCTGCATGATGGCAGCATAGCCATGTGGGATCTACGCGAAACATACTCGTTTTGTTCGAAACTAGACGGTTATCTCACGCACTTTGCGGCAACGCAGTCTGTGGTGCCCGTGTGGAGCCCGAGCGCAGACTCGTCGCAGCGTCTCAGTGATCTCGGCGCTGTTGTGGACGTTAGAAGCTTTCGTACGCCGCAAAAAGTACTAGCGCTGGGCACATATCGCTCAATACAGGTAAGAAGATGGGAAAATTAAAATTGTACGAAAATATTTCAAATACAATTTGTTCTTTTCAGTTCGCCGCACTCAACGACAGCGGCATCTTATCGAGTTGGACATTGGTGGAGGCGTGTACAAAACAACGTGAATTCGCAACAACGCTACCGACTGACACCCACCGCACTCGCAAGCGCAACACTGTGACACCGTCTAGCATACGCTTCGAGTACAGCTCACCTTGGGCGCGTGTCAAATTAATTCAAAGTGCCATTTGCGATTTACGCGAATACTTGGAGCGCGGCTTGCGTCGCACACAAACCCAATTTGAAATGACAAAGCAACTGTTTCAGAAGGAAATCTACAGTGATGAGGTGTTACGCGAGCTTCACGGCACCAAATCGGCACAGCAACAGCGTCAACAACTGCAGGGTTTACGTTTTACAGGCATCGATACGGGTTCCGAGCGCATCTACGTTTGCACGAACCGTAATTTTGTGCTGGCATGCTCGAAGAGTCTGAAAGTCGAACGTTTTCGCAAAATAAACATTAACGAGAGCGAACTGCTCTTCGCGACCGCTCTACAGGTACTGACGAATGAACATTTTCTCGCTGTTGGTCTATCAAATGGTTCCGTGATGATTGTCAATTGCAATCAACAGAAAGTGACACAACAACAACGTAATATCACAGGCGGCGGACGTTTGGAGACGGCGAGTTCTATGAGCAACAGCACAATGTCGAAACTAAACACGCCAGCAACGCCTGATATCGATCCCATTACTGGTAAATCCTGCGCCATACAAAATATAATACTAAACGAAAGACGTCAACTGAGCACAGCAGACGACAATAATACCTTTCCATCCGAATATGAAATGCGCCCCTCCACAGCTGCCTGCATTGCTTTGATTAACAATCAAAAGCGTCCCTTTGAATTACGCATTTATGATCAGCAAATCATATTGAGCGGCTCAGCGCTGCGTAAGGATTTGGTGCAATCGCTGGCGCTTTCGAGTGATGGTTGGCGCCTCTTTGCGCTCGTGAATGGACGAATACGAACGTACGACTTTTACTTGGATCGCGAGATCGATGGTCATTCGGTGGAGGAAAACCCATATGAGCAGCGTGTAATGGATATAGCGGTGGCCAAAAGCTCACAAACTGCAAATCATCTGATAGTTTTGGATGAGGAGAACGACGTAGAAGTGCACTTATTAAAGCAATAGGCAAAAGTAGTAATAAAATGTGAGAAATTAAATGTAGATTGTGGAAATACATAATGGTTTTAGGTTCAATGAATGAGAATCTTTTTATTGTATTTTGGCAGTCGACGTTTCAAATAGTCTGAGGAAGTAGCAAAGTTGTTTTGTTTCTTCTTTTTTTTTTCTATTCTGAAGTTTAATTCGTGGACCGTGGAAGATACTAAGGATCCCCCCGCACTCTTTAGACATCTGTACTTTGAGAAGCACGATATCGGCTAAACTTTGGCAGCGCAAGCTGTTGAAACGATCCCAGCATTTCAGAGGCTATTTAAAACGCTAAAGATGCTTTGCATTTAAAGACGAGATAAATTTTAATAGCGCAACGAAACCTGCCGCTTTTCACTGAACCGTTCAATTTATAAATTTACAATCACCTTTTGACCTTTTGATGAAACGCTGAAAATATTTTTCTCAATATATTCTCGCTTGCCTTGTCATCGATTGCAATCAGCAAATTCATCATATTTATCAGTGAATAAAGAGCGTGCAATTTCTAGGATTTTCACATAAATTAGGGTGGTTCAAAATCAAAACGTGAAAGTACGAGGGAGCGGTATGAGGTTGTTGTATCGGGGTGAGATGTCATTGGTTTATGACGATCTTGTCCGAGGAAGCCATAATTCGCAAGTGGCACAGCTTATTTGAACAATGCAGAGAACCTCTTGAAGACGGGTTGAAGCCAGGCAGCAGCATCGAGTTGACTACGCCGGCACTTAACCAAAAAGTTGAAAAAGTAATACTCGACGATGTTCGACTTAAGAAGAAGCAACTCGCTGAAATCGAGAATCCCATACAAACATCCATCCCACACGATCATCTCGACATAAGCAAGGCCAGCGCAAGAAATGCCGAAAATGCACACTCCACGGCAAAAACTGCAGTGAGTAAAGTGTTCTCTTTTTTTTTGCTTTTTTTGAACCTCTCTAATGGCGAGATGGATGGTGTATTCAGCCGAATTGTTACTGGAGTTAGCTGGGAACTTCGTGGCAACGGTCTTTTGGAACTCGGAAGGAACGATTTTAGAGATAAAGGCCTCAACACTAGAGCGATTTGCGGAAGCCTTCAACGAGAAAAGATTCGGAAAATTGGAGAAAGTTGTACTGCTTTTGCGCGATAACGCGCCCGTCCACAAGAGTCGCATTGCGTTGGCTGCCATACAGTGCATAAAGAGTGATACGATATTTTGATTCGCCCGCACTAAAGCCCAGACCTGATTCTAAAAATGAAAATTTAGCTGAGTGGTATGAAGAGGCGAGTGGTTAGCATTGCGTACTGTCATTCAGAAGGCTGGGGTTCGAATCCTGGTGTCGTACTAACATCAAAAAACTTGTAAATAAAAAATTAAGTTAAATTACCTAATTGCGGTCGCTCTCGGCAGGGAATATCAATACCTCCGAGTTATTTCGGACATGAAATAAAGGTGCCTCATAAAAAAACACATCGGTCGCCCGAAGGCGGCTTAGAATAAACTATAAGTTGGAAAAACATCAAGGCGCATACCACAAACTGCAGAAGGAGCTCGGCTGAAAATCAGAGTTTGCCCCAAAAAAGAATTCCTCATAGACATACAAGACACGTTCGTTCTGATGCCACAAAGCTAAAAAAATATCTTTAACACAAGACAATTCTCTATTAAGCAATGTCAATGTGTCCGAGGACAGTCAGTCTCAAGCGCGCGAAAGCAAGTCCCAGACAATTATTACTATAAGCAAGCGATTCTTTACAGCTTTGGAGCTCCCCAAGAATGAGCAGAAGATTGTAATTTAGTTATCTGAGTTAGCACCAATCCTCTGCTGGAAAAAATTGGTTAGACCAACTCTTTACTTCAACGGCTTCACCATACGAAAACTTCGTGAGGCAAGATAGACTTAACTATACATAGTTCGGTAGATTCAGTACACCACTGAGATCGAAGAACGTCCCCATCTCATGTCGATAGTAGGTCAGCAGCAGTATAAAGCAAAGTTATTTTATTTCTCGGACAAATGAAGGTAAACGCCGAACCGCTCCGATAGTCCTTACTTGAAAAAGACAGGTTCTGTCTTACTGGTATTTATGGCAAGACCAGTTCTGGCGCCTAACTTCTTATTTGCTTTTTGTGGCTATACTTGTCGATACCATTAGGTATGAGGTCATAAAGGATTTCAACGATTTTATATTTCCCCTAAAGAGATTTAAAAGGGCAAGGAAAATGCATGTCGAGGAGAAATTTCTATGACTCCTCAGTGATCCCATTTCCCCTCCGCCCTCCATGACAATCTTTTCGTCTCGTATTTATGAGGGCTCACAAGCTTGTGAGAAGGTCTGTATAGGCCTAAAAGAAAAACTTAAATGAACTTCTTCGTTAAAGAAAACATGGCCGTGTGATTTCTTACCGCCCTAATATAATATGTGCAATTATTTGTTTGCATTTTTATTATTATTTTTAAACAAGTGAAATAGAACAAAATAACTTTATTATTGACTACGCCGCCGAAGGTTGTGTAGAAAAAAAATTTGCTTACGACGGCATTGAGCGATTGATGTTGGATCGCTTTGGTTGAGGTTAAAAAAATGATTGCAAATATTTTGCACTGAATAAGCGAGGTAATTTATGAGCTTTGATGAAAGCGGGGATTTTTATATACTCCACATTAAAAATAATAATAACAATATTAAAAACAACCCAATGATTATTCGCCCAAATGAGAAGTGTTCTTTTAATGATAAAATATTAATCTTATGGGACAGAGTTTTCTATTTCATTAAAACTTGTTTCTACACGTGGAGGTTCCCGTGCTAAGGCACAACCTCGCTGCGGAAGTAAGTCTAAATATATTTATATAGCGACCCGATTGTTTCTAGAGCGACGCCAGCTCGTCTTCACACTTGTGGTGAACAGAAACCCTTAAAATATGTCGAACTGACTCTACTAAAACTGCTTCTCTTTTAGCCAGGACCCTAGACTCCACAATGGTTGATAGGAAAAGTACGAAATTGAGTATAACTTGCAACTGTATATGTATGCCCAGAAGCAGTATTACAGCCCAACTACATTTCTTAATGAATCAATTTGTAGACCTTTGCTCTTGGCTGTGGTAAACTTCATTATTCAAACTTGTATATCTCGAAGCTTTCACCCTGAATAGCACAGTCACGCACAAGGGCGGGCAAGTCACTTCTTCTTTTCGTAGATCATCGTCAATGGAAACGAGATTATTCTCCATCTGATCTTACCATGACATTCACCCTCTCTTTCTCCTCCTCTGATTCCACTGGCGGATACAGCATCGAATCTGTCCTCTGTCCCTTCATTCGCTGAACTATATCAATGTCACCATAAAGCTCGTATATCTCACCATTTCATAGTCTGAGGTATTCGCCGTTCACAAGGCGAAAATGTCAATAAATCGTTGTCGAACTCTTTCTCTTGAAAACTCCTAGCGCTCGCGATGCCGGCATCATCTACGTTTTTACACTACAAAGTAGGACGGATATGATGAGCGACTTGTAGAGTTTCTTTTTTATTTATCGAGAGATTACTTTAATTTTCAATTGCCTAGTTAGTCCAAAGTATCATCTCTTGGCAAAAGTTATTCTGTGTCGGATTTCATTTGGATGACATTGTTGTAGGTGTTAATGTTAGTTCCAAGATAGACAAATGTGTCTACGACTTCTTAGCTATGACTGTTAATACTGACGTGGGAGTCAAAAGCCGGATGCGCTGACTGTTTCTTTGATGTTAGGAGATATTTCGTCTTATCCTTGTTCACAATCCAAAGAAACAACGACGCATTCGTTGCGACCAATTATGTGAAGATCATCTGCATACGTTCTCTATGGAATAGTGTACTTACTCTGCTTAGCTCAGCAGCTAGTATTATTTACTCCAGCATCAAGAGGCGAGTCGAGTGCTTAGCATTGCCTACTACCATTCGGAAAGCCTAGTAAGACCAACATCCAAAAGTTATAGAAAATTAATTTGGGTAAAAAATTAAGCTAAATTTTCTAATTACGGTCGTCCCTCGGCAGCGAATATCAAGCCGTTTGAGTGTATTTCTGTCATGAAATAGAGGCTCCTCACAAAAAAACCATCAGCCGTTCGGAGGTGGCTTAGCATAAACTGTAGATTCCTCCATTTCTTGGAAAACATCAAATCGCAAAACCACAAATTAGAGAAGGGGCACGGCCGGAGCACGGATCGTTTTTAGGGCTTGAGGAATATCTGGTCTAGTCAATGATGGATTTACCAGGTCTGAATCCATACTGATAAGGTACGATCAGTTTATTGATGATGTGCTCTAATCTTCCGCACAATACGCTAGGTAATCTCTTATATGCGTTATGGGACAAACTTATCTCACGGTAATTTGAGACGATTGATGGATACCCCATTTTACGGATTGGGCTGAGCACGTTTGGTTTCTAATCGTCGGACAAATTCGTTAAGTTGGAAAAACACGAACAAAAACTCAACACTCCGTCTTCTCTCGAATCACATTTCTTAGCAGGTATCGAAGAGTGTCGGCTACTAGAAAGAATAACACGACTTATAAGATATGCAAGCAACATATGGAGACTAATAGTTCTTCTTGCAATGTTCCTTTGATCGAATTGCGCTTGGAAAAGAATAAAATACAGTTTTTGCGAATTTGATAAATAAAAATGTCAAACCCTCCCAGCTTATTCCAATTCAGTTAATCTCTTTACAGGACATTTCTTTTTTTTTAATTAACTAGCCTATTCTTTCGGGCAGAGTTGGGCAGAGTTCGAGTCCTGGTACAACCAACATATGGTCGTAATACTGGAGTGGTTAGCATCGTGTACCAGCGTTCGGTTCGAGTCCTGAGTCCTTTTTTCTTTTTGCAATCGCCCCTCGATAGGGAATGTCAAGCCCTCAGAGTATTTTTGGCGTGAAATATAAAGCAATTTTGATCAGGATTGCGCGTTGCTTCTTTTATTATAAAAACCGAGCTATCGAATTGGTCACAGGCCCACTTCTCGTAAGAAAAAGTTTTCCATGCCTAATTCTTGTGTACCAAAGTCCATGTATGTAAGTCAAAC